TGATCCTATTCAACAAAAACTAATCAGGATGATCACACCAAAGCCATCCAAAGCTTAATTTATAAATATATATAGCACACTATACTGTATTTAACTGAAAGTTAGCAATAACTTCAAGACATTCCTCCCTAAAATAATTTATTTTAGAACCTTCTCTCATTGTTTGTGACCATCATATTTAAAAAATTAACAGCCACATTGGCGTAAAATTTAACGTGTTTTTTTAAACTTCAACCAGGAGGAAACCTAAATGATTGCGGTGATCCTCTGACCTTCCCTCTAGCATGTTATGGCCAAACCTATAATGGTAAGCATATTTCAAAAACAAATCCAATTTCACGGCGAAGACTCGTATTCATTTTGCTGACCTTATAACTTATACTGAATTATCATCCTTACAGAAAACTTCCCTCTTGTAAAAAAAATGTTTTGAAAATTTTAAATGATGTACAGTATCTCATGCCCTGTTACTGACACAGCCATAAAATTGGCTCTTCTTAATAATTAATTCTCCCTAGATCTCAGACAGTCAAATTACCACTTTGCAACCTTACCATATCTCGATAAACTTAGATATGATATTATTAATTTATTAAGATAAGTTAGTTTGTTCGAGGACACTGATCTGCTGTGTAAATGCTGTATTGCCTTTTAAAAAGTAAAGATTAGTTGTTTTTTTAAATTAAAGATTATTAAAAATATGATTCTCTACTTAAAAAAAGTCACTACCTATTAGTGTGAATGAGAAAAAAATTTAATTATAAATATTTAAGAATATTCATTCAAATGTAGTGTCATATATCATTCAGGCACATTGGAGTATTTATTCTGCATAAATACTTTGAATTGTGACTTATTTACTTATAATACCCATGCAATGTATAATGTCTGAATTTTTCCACAAATTTGTAATTAATACAGTAAATACAGTAAAAATCCAGTGCGCGATGAGATTATTTGCGTGTGAAATATTAATACAGGAATTTAAGATGCACAATGAATGTTTGGTGTACACATCCCTCTTGGTAGAGTGCAAGGGGAAAAATCTGCCTTTGACTGCCAGTGTTGCAAGTCTGAGGTGTAATTTTCTCCTTTACATTTCAAGTTCAGCTGTGTGGGAGGCTTGTTATTCATGCAGATGTCACAAGAAAGGCTCCCTCTCTCTTTTTCCTTCTTTCCCTCTCTCTTCCGCTCTCTCTGCATGTCTTTGCTGCCCTAATTCCTAGGCAAGTGCTGCAGTGGGCTTATTTTGTTGGCAGTCCATGCCTTATTGTTCGCTACTTCTTTAACACCTACATAATGTATTTCATTAGAATCTGCTGTCAGTCCCTGTCCGTTCCACTTCATCCCATCACTCTCATTTTTTTTTCTTTTTAAGGAGGTGGGGGCTCTTAGCACCAAATAAACAACTAGCCTGTATTCTGTTGTCATGCATCTTCCTCTGTCTCTTGTCTGTGTGTTTCTTCCTCTGCGGGGAATTCAATTATCCTGGCTGTTGTTTTATGATCTTGTCGTGACATCCGATGACGGATTCATTATCTTATCTTCTGGCGTGACAGCATAGTAGCAACAGGACCATTGTTTCCTACAGTTCTGCGATTGCAATTAGCTTTACATGTGGACTGTGTAACTCTTTCTCCATCAATTATGCTAGTCTGAAGTTTTCACTCTTTCACAGTTTTAGCCCTTGCTGGCTTTCCATCTCAATTAAAAGATGTCAAAGAAAAAAAAAAATCTTTTTGGGTAGTTAAATTAAAAGTGCAGTAGTTCTGATGGTTGTGAGGTAGAATAATTCAGAAATGTAGATAATGCTTAAATAAACAAGTATTAATCAGCAGTGCAGTAAAGAGCAATCTGGAGAATTTCCTTTTTCTCCTTTATGTACTTATTTGAGTCAGACTTCTGAACAGTTCTTTGCATTTTCTCCTCATTTCCAGCATTGACTTAAAGTCTGCTCTCTGTTATGGAGAAATAATATATAAATATACCCTGGTGAATTAATTTTTTGCATATATTTGTTTAAAAAGTGAGACTCAAATGAAAGCTTTGGGATTTATTTGCACAATGTTTTCACTTGTGTTTGACCTTTTTTTTTTTTGTTCATGAAAGGGCACGTTCCTGGATGACAGGAAGGTCAGCACACTGTAGTTGGTGAAAATGTTGCAAGAGCTTTTTTAGCTCTGTTTTAATATGGAAACTACTAACCTCTGCTGGGGTTATAAAAAGGTTGCAGACTGTCGCTGAATCTGGTCCCTTTGATCTCTGTCTTTTTTGTCTTGTTAAAAAATGCACAAAATGCAAGAAGAACCTCATATAGCACTGCAAGATAGAGTATGCTAATTTGCAGATACTGTGTGCCTTTCCCTTCATTATGTACATACTTTAATAACACTCTCTGTGTTGCAGGGAATGAGTTTGGCCATCCTGAGTGGCTGGATTTCCCTAGAGAGGGGAACAATCAGAGTTACCACTACGCCCGGCGGCAGTTTAACCTAGTGGATATGGATCACCTCCGCTACTGTCAGCTCTACGCCTTTGACCGAGACATGAACCGTACCGAAGACAAGTACGGCTGGCTGGCTGCCCCACCTGTAAGGACATCACACACTCACTGTACAGTAGGCTTTGTGTAGACACTCTCAATGACAAAATCACATGAATTTATAATGTCACAGCACATTTTTTGAGCCACATACAGAATATTTGATCATTTGTGTCCCATCCAATTGTCATAAATGATTTAGCTCATGTACGATTATATTTTCAAGAATAAATGTGTTCTCAAGCCACCATCTTTGCACACTTTTACAATTTCCCTGTTTCCACATTGGGGAGTACTGTAGTTCTCAGGCAGGTGGAGATAAATGCACCATAAAGAGAGTTCATTTTGGAAATGTCCTGTTTCTCTGGCTGCTGTCAAGGTGAACCGTAATAGATTTGACTCTCGTCCTGCAGCTTTTCTCATTGCCTGCATTTGAAGCCTGTGGGAGAAAACATTATGTTTTTCTCTTGAGGGGCTGGTAGCAAAGTAATGGGATAATGCAAATGGAGAGTGTGGCTAAATTGACAGGGATTAGAAGTGAGTCTGTGTAATTGATTCAAAAATACCCTCCCTCACATCCTCCGGAATCCGTCTCCAGATTAGAGCTACTTCACCTTGCTGCGTTAACACTCTGACCTGCATATTTCTCCTCAATAGACAGACAAATGCAGCCTGAATCAGAGAGCATAATTAGAGACATGTCTGGTTCACACGGATAATTTCTGTGTATTGGTCTATCAATCAGAAGTGTGTTCTGACTAGAACCTTTTACACCCTTGACAACTCGATGAAACAGAGCTTTGGAGGTAAGGCAAAGAAAAGCAGAGCCTGGCTGATTTCTGAGCTCCATTTTGGGGTGAATGGAAGTAAATGGTGATCCCAAAGGATGCCACTGGCAGGGAAGACGCATACATTTGGCACCAGTACTGACCTGCTACACGTTGGGTGCTGTTTTTCTTGGCTGCTTCTAGGCCTTTAATATGTGAAACCATAGTAGATGACAGCTCAACAAGGCATACTTAAGACATCATCTAATTGGGTTCTTTCATCAGCTCAAATCACGTGTAAATAATTTATCTTCGATTATACATTGGCAGTCTGAAGTTAGTCATTTCCACTATGTGGAAGTCTCACAGTGTCAAATCATTTGGCATGTGTATGGAGCAGAAAGAGCATCCATCAAATGGATCATTTCTGAATATGGGGCCTTATTACAGATACCTCTGATAGCAAGCATTTACTCTGTCGAAGTGTTTTTCATTATAAAAATAAATGGGGGCAGTAGTTACATCTAATGGAGGTGTATGTTGGTTCTCTCTCTTTTGTTGTAATCACAAAAAAGCTGATTTTGTTTTGGTTGCAGATATGTTGTAATATCTGGATAAGTTCTGTGATCATCAGAAAGATTGACCAGATTGTTGCAGGATTTTAGATAGCATATTTACAGTATGTCAGAATCACCAAATAGAACAAAATGTTTTTAAAAGATCCTGACATAATCATTCCATTGTCTCAAAAATGTATTACACAATATAAAAGGTCTTATCAACAAGTGCAGAGAAACTGTATCTATGGTGGGCACTATTTCTTTTCTTTTTTTTATGAAGTGAAAAAACACATTGCCCGCACTAATGGCCAAAGCTTGTTTTTGCACTACAGATGCATTTTATCATACATACCCATCTGTCACAGTGTGACGGTGTGATCGCTTTTATGGGACCTTAAGTTTGAGTCTGAATCAAGGCAAATTAAGGTCTACCCCAAGAAGAAGAACAAGACTATTTAAAATATGTCACTTCTTACAGTGTTTCTAATGACAGATATTAACTCCTTCAGTATATATCTTTACATGTATTTAATACATAGGATTTGATCAAACCTTACATTAGAAGTGGCAGGAAGGAAGAGATGGAGTCAGTAGGCACATGAATCAAAATAGGCATTATGTAAAACTTAACCTAAAATATTAGGTAAGTGGTCTGAAGAGCAGCTGAAGTCATAGATGATAAATCAGCTCTAGGGATTTTTGACCCTGCACTCCGGTCTCAGACAGGGCTCAGAAGCAGCTGACACAAAAATGTATTCTTTAGCGATTGATACAATATCACAAAAAGACTTTGTAGAACATCACTCACAGATAATGTCAATAACTACTCAGAGATTCTGCTGTAATAACCAGATGAGTCTGAATCCTCTGGAAAGCTTATCAATGACATTGCCAAGGTAATCGTGCTTAGTGAGAATATTCTATAGTGTAGTTCAATACTTCACTATGGTGGGAGGATCCAAGGGCATTTTGTAGTTAAAATGAGAAGCAGAAGAGGAACTGTCAGCATCTCTGCCTGTTGTCCCAAGTGTATGAACTAAGCGGGAATGGAAACATGCAGGGCCTCTGCTTAAAAATGTGGTTTGTGCCCACCTCTTTGAAGATGTGCAGTTGAGCTTCGAAAGAGCAAAGTCTGGACATAAACTGAAGCTCCTGTTATTGCAGAGATAGCATCTCTTCAGGGGTCCCTCTGTGATGAAATGTAAATAAACCAGGACAAACAAAGCCACCAGACTCCTTTGACAAACAGTCATTTTAACTTGCAGAACACGGGAGTTGCTGGTCCACCGCTGTCTTGATCGGTTAGCTTGTTCGTGTTATTGTGTAATTTTGGTGTTTTCAAGACTGTAGTTCAAATTCAAACTAATGTTCATTGTTGCAGATCAAGGCAGCAACGGTAGACCAGCAACTCCTGTGTGCTGGGAGGTAAAATTACTGTTTTTATCAAAGGAGTCTGGTGGCTTTGGCTATTTGACAGCAAGCGTACACTTAAACTGATATTGATTTTGTTTTTAGGTGGGCCTTTTTTTTATGAGGCCATGATAAGTTTTTATTCCTTCCCCATTCACAGCACTAAATTTCTAAGCTTAAAAAAACATTTACGTAAGATACATTTACTTACTGGTAATATAACTTAAAAATATCTATATTTGTAATAGTAAAAGCTGTTTGTGTATCCCAATATTTAGATTTTTGTTCGCATTATAAGATAAACTCTACAATTTGGTCACATAGCATTCTCTGCAAACCACAGGGGAAAAGTCAAATGTTATTTTTGACCTCTTATCCACCAGCAGGCTACATCTTCAATGTATTTTCGTTGTCTCCTGTCTCCCTAGAAACATAAGATGTTTGCCCGGGGGGCAAAACCAACGTTTATATCCAATTTTTCCACAAACTGCAGCTGACTTAACTTGTGTTCCAGTGAAGAAAAGGAGCAGAGAGCAGGGTTGCAGTATGTGGAAATATTGGATTTGAATTGTGGTTTCACAAAAACATTTTCATTCAGAGGTCACAAATGGAGCTACTGTAGAGATTTACTCATGTTCTCATGGCTACGTTTCACCCAAAACTGTTGTTTCAGGTCAGAATGATGCTGCGGGCTGTGACAGTAACAGAAACTTAACACACTTAGACCTAATGTTTAACTGCAAGATGTTGCCTCATATCAGTTGACCATATGTTTGCATCATAGGGTTTTTTTTTCTTCTTGGTGCACACTTGAAAATTATTAGTGAAATAATAATTTGGACATACATCAGCAGATTCTGAATATAATCACAATAATTTATTGATCTTTACCAAGTCCGTTGGTTTAATTTACATTTAATTATTTAAGTAAGAATGCACATTTTCTGTGATTATTGGGTCACAACTTGATGGATGCAGATTATATTTGTTTTCCAATGCTATAGCAGTTACAGCCATCTAGGGGGGCTTTCCATTACTCCAAATTTGTGGACTTCTCATGTAGAAATGGACCTGTTAAAAGACTCCAGACTGTCAGCTCATTCCTTAACCTCCATCCTCTCTGCCAGTCCAGTTGCAGGGGTGCTTATCTTCTCATTCAGCCGTGAATATGCTGCCCTGAAATTGGCTTGGGGAACAAGGCACTAAAAATAGGGGGTTGGGTGACATTGATAATCTCTGCTAATGACACGTTAACAGTAGCTCGCTCCACAGGAGAGTGGCGGCTTTATCATGTGCAGCTGTCTAAAGCTGACAGTGTGAGCCTCGCACTACCCTGGGCTGCTGCTTTCTGCTGATGAGCTCCACCTGAAATTTGATGTGAGAATGTTACTCAGCCTATTTGGAAATGTGTAGTCCACTGATATAATGTGCCCCATTATAAGTCTCTAAATCCAAGATGAGAAAGGTAATGACTATTCATGAAGAAATATTTAACTAGCTTTTTTTTTCTCTCCCTTCTCCCCCTCCAGGCCTTTATAAGCGCCACGCATCAAGAGGACAAGGTCATTGTGTTTGACAGGGCAAATGTGCTCTTTATCTTCAACTTCCACCCGAGTAAGAGCTTCCAGGGCTACAGGGTGGCTGTAGAAGTTCCAGGAAAGTATCCTTTTAGCTCTCATCTGTCTTGTCACTGCCCATTTCCTTCAAGGCTTCAGACATTGGCTTTCTTCTGTCACAGCACAGTGCAAACAATGTCTTTGCTGGTTTTTTCTTTAATGACTAATTTCTGAGCCTGAAAAAGTCAGTAACAACAACTATTTACTACAGACACTTACGGTTCCCAGTGGATAAAGCTCTGGTTATCTTGTAACTTTTCATCTAGCACCACCAACAAGTCCAAATCTCCACTTCTCCAGCCTGGGAACACACGTTAATTTTGAAAAACATGTCAGAAATATATAATGTAAATTTTTAAAAGGCTCAGTAATTTCCTAAGGCACCTGTAGTTTTAAGCAGATTTTACTCAAATAGACATAGTGCATTTGTTGGGGACTTTTTCAGAGTGTTAACCAGTATTAACACCAGCAGGATGGTATGTGTGGGATTGGCTCAAAATAAATTACAGTGCCCATGTTCATGGTAATGAAGAAACATGTCAGCCAGTGCAACAGTGTGGCTCACTGATGTGTGTTTAATAAGTTTTGGACAACTGTGGAGCTCCATGGCACAGAGGACTAAGTTACATCACGCTTTGACTACACAGACAAAACTTGTTTATAGGATCAGTTCGTTGTTGGTTTTGTTTTTTTCATGGGATTAGTATACAATAAATAAGATATAAAATATCAACAGACGTATCACTTTTAACAGTGTGTGTTGCACTTAGTCCTGTTATAGTATTAAATGCTATAGTAATAGGAGTTATTTAAGATAATCTTACTTGCTTATCAAGGTGAGCAAGTAGCTGATCTCCAATGAGTGTTGATCAGCTACATTTTAAATGACCTCTGAGACTCTCAGTAGCATATGCTGTGCATGAGTTTCTTAGCTTATGCCATGGGAATCAGCTTATCATCCTGGGGTCCATTCCTAACATATATACATGCATGCATACATACTGTTGTGTTATTCTATGTTTATCTTTACAGGCAATTTACAGTATATGGTTGAAGGCTGACTACAGATCACTGTACATACATGCATACATCTATACATGTACAAGCAACCTCACCAGTCACTACATAACTGTTGATAGGAGTTTGAATGTTGGACATGGTTCAAAATGAATGTACCAATAAATTTATCAGGGCATTGAAGAGACCACTCTTCTGGGCTGAGAAGTAGATCAGGGATCTAAACACTGTGCCTGACTTGTTTAAAGCAAATGTGATTTGCAAAGACCCACAGTTTTAATGGCAGTGTGTTCTCCTGAGGCTAAGACTTTTGTGATATAATTTTAGCAGTCACTGTTGAGAGGAATATGAGTCAGATGTTTATAGTGGTGTTGTTATGCTATTAGAGAGAAATAATAGCAGAGCCCAGTGATTCAGAAAGCGCTCTCTTTAGCGGCATTGGCTGTCTGTCATCCCAGCGAGCAGCGCAGAGGAATTTAATGAGTCCCACAGTTGTGATTACAGCAGGCTTAATGATCAGGGATGTGAAGGGGGACAGAAAGCTGACAGATTTGTATTTATTATAACGGACATCACTCTCTTCTGGAGCCCACTGAAGCTCATGCCAACCATTTCCCGGATGGATACGAAGCTGTGTTGCTTTTTCAGCTATGACTTAAATAATGTGATGGTGAGTCAAAACGCAGACATAGTTTGTTAGTTTTCTCTGGATGCCAGCCGTTCAAATCACTATACATGAGCAATTCTGTCTCAAATTATGATAATTCGATTGGCTGACAATGAGGCTGTTAAACAGCAGTTGTTCCTTTCATTTCTACATTATTGTATTTGTTTCATTTAGATGACTAAGCTCATGGTTCTTGCTAATTATAATGAAATGATACAGCTATGTGAAAATGTAATGAATTATCCTAAATGAAAAAAGTTTTTAATACATTATCAGCTTGATGATGTCATTGGATATTAACAAACAAGGTTTTATTACATCATTTGAAGGTGAATTGCATTTCATTTTTACATTACATTATGTGGCAATTATTTTATTATATCATACACTGTTACATAGATGTTAAGGTTATAATAACACTGCCTGCCCGAGAAGCATGATTATTACAGTAGATATAAAACAATACAAAAAGAACATTTCTAATCTCTATTGCAAGTGTTAATCAACATCTTAAAAAAGACCAAACAAACCCAAACATGTCATTAAATGTGGATAGTGAGATGGAACAATAATCATGTTTATTTGATGATTAAAAAACCACAGAAGTAACCCCTAATCTCTTAATATCATGCGTTAATTGTGAGCTTGTTTGATGTGCAATAATTGTACATTCTGCCTCGTGTTTTCGGCTCTGCCTTGATGGGGTGAATCTTGGGCGCACCACTAATAGCCTTGCTGCAGTGTCTGTAACACCGTTTTTGAGGGTTTATTTTCATTTAGATGGAACCACATCTTTTCCTCCTGGTGCTTCTTTTGATGTTTAAGGAGAGGCCTCAGACACTGGGTGGGTTGAGAGGAAATGCAAATAAATGTGAGGGCAAAGCTCTGGCTGTCATTATACAGAGAAGCAGTAAACACATAAAGGCAAATGTGCTGTGTGTGTGAGGAAGGTAAATGTGCCGTGTGTACGAGGAGATGCAGATCCTCCGATGGGAATGTGTGCAGAGGATCCAATTAGGAGAGAAGACAGATGAAAGTGCCACTCAGAGGCAGAGGAGGTAAACAAGACAAGCTCAAAGAGTCCAAAAGTGCTTTTTCATTACACTCAGCTGTCATATACTTAAACTTTCTTCCACCTGTGTGAGGGTCAGGGATGTCACAGTGGAGCCCCACACCACTGCTGTATCTGGAAATAATAGCTGAATGCAGCTGACCATGATGTTCGCCACTGAAAATGGATCCAATACAGGGTGTTATTTCCTTTGGCAATATGGAAAGTACTGTATTTCTATCAGAGGGTGAGTGTCCCTCTCCAGCAAAAACACCATCAAGTTTCCTTTTGTTGCCCTCTGTCACATGCTGGATTACTGCAGGTTAGTCTATGGATCTTCAGGTAGTTAATCTGTTTGCTTGTTAAAAAGCTTTTATTAACTTTTGTTATTTTACAGCTGAACTAAACAATAAGCAGAGCGAGTTCCAGCACTGTTTGAAAATGGATCCAGTTCTGCATAATGCTTCAGTGTTTCACTTAATTATGAGCAGAAACTCTAAGAAAAAATTGTTGTCAATGTGACACTGAAAAGAACCCAAAGTTGATGCTGTTTAGATGTGCTTCAGCTAAATAACTGCAGTAGTTTTAGTGTCTGTGGTACAATGTAAAAAGTCTGTCTTAACTTTAAAATGAATAAATAACAACAAACTTTATATAGTCATCATTCCTCAGTACCAGTCCTTAGTTGGATCCACAGTGACTGTTTGGCCTCTTCATATTTTTAGACAAGATTTTCTTTAGCTTCTCATTGTCCTCTTTTGAATGTGTGTGGTTTTTTTTTCTCTCCGCGAGGAACAGGAGAGAAAGGGAGGCGAAACACCTCTCCGAAAATGTTGGCCATTAAAATGCAGTCAACGTCAGCTTTTCGACAGGCACTCAAACCATCAGTGTTTTTTATTATTTTCTCTCTGACTTGTGGTGGACACATTCTTCAGGCACTGGGCTTTATCTGGCTGGTTAGAGTATTTGAAATCCCAGTTGGATCCCGTCATGAAAGCTGTACCTGTCAGGGCAGATTGGTCTTTGATTTACACTGTGCCAATATTCAGTTGAGATTGTGTCAGGTCATCATTCTCCTTTTCTGTCTGGGCCGTTCCTTGAATGCCGTTTGGAATAATTCAACTACAGGTGCAGTGACATGAACTAACTAGAATTTAGAATAAAATACACACCATGGTACATAGGTGGCAATGATTTACTCTGTTATTATCTAGTATGTACCACATAATATTTCAGATATCAGAATATTTCAAAAATAAAAATGTGCATCCATTTTTTTATTTTTACTTTCTACCAACGCATGCTGAAGATACATCATATTGCATGAAAAAAATTGCAGTACTTTTCTCTGTGTGTTGTAACTCAACCAGAGCTCATCCAAAGGCTTCATCTGTGATTGTAAACCAGGCAGTAGACAAATAGTGGAGCTGCTTTTATTTCAAGCATTAAAGGAAAACTACAGTTTATTATAACTTGGGTCTTATTTTTGTAGTTTTGGACGTTCAGATGATCAGCCACATTGCAAACAAGCTAAGATTTGTAATGCATAATCTGTGAATGTATAGGCTGGGAAGTTTTATTTCATGTGTTATGATAATTTCAAAAATAAAAGTATGCTCATCTGTTTTTATAAAAAAGTATGACAACGGTCTGGATCGCAACAGAGTGAAAAAACATATTCTGGAAGCTGTTAAACAGTACTTTTAGGTGGTATGCCCTTCATACAAAGTGATAGAGATCTCTTTGTTTTGAAATTAATAGTCTTTAATGGTCTCACTTTACATCAGAGTTTCAGCTGTGGGTTAGCTAGACCGCTCCCTCATTTCACTGTGACAGAAACAGTTTCTACCATTTGTTCCACTCTGATGTAACTTGCACCAGCTGAACAGAAGGCAGGAAAAAGTCAACTCTGAAAAGGCAAGATACCGTATTTCGAATGCTTACAAGGCCAAGCAACATAATTCAGATCTGCACACATGTCTCGCTCAGCTCTTGTTCACCTATGCCAGGTTGCTATTACTTTTCATGAAGCCAGAAAAAACGACTGATGGAGAAACTAAGTGGTGGCTTGGTCTGCAATCATGGTCATGGCCAGATTGTTTTCAGGTCATCAATGGCTCTAATCATCAAGCTTCAGCCTGCCTTCTTTTCTTTCTACTCATTGGGCAAAATTGATTGTGTTTCTTAAATCTTCCCCTTTATTCACAAAGGCTGTATTGATTACAATACTTTACAGCTGAACTGCGAGCGGTTGTTGCAGCCGTCTGTAGCCACTAACAAAGACGTAATCGCTCAAACCTTCCAACTACCAATTTGTGCTGGTTCTCACTTCCTGGCAGAGAAGTTTGCTGGGGAAACTATGAATTACTGTAACTATGTCTCATTTCCAGCACACTCTGTGCCATACAGATGTACACATACAGTACACATGCAATCCACAAGACAGGGAATGCACAACAAGCAGGAGCACTGTAATGTTACAAGCACACTAAATCAAATATTGCACTATTAGAATTAGTTAATGTTAAGGTTTTTATTCTGTGTATTAGGAGGATTAACCTTTGAAATTCCATATATCCTCTGCTTCCCAGAAGCATTAAAACCCCTAATAACTATCAGAAGAATATTCTTCTAAAACCGTCATAGCAGAATTAGTTTGTTCTCTCAGTAAAACACTATAGAGGTCTAGTAGAGCAGAGGAGGTGTGGAGGAGGGGGATCTTCTTCCCCAACAGAAACAATGCACAGAGCAGCACTTCTTTTTAATCATCACTATCAAAGCAGACAAGCAAGCGGCAAAAGCAGAATTTTCCCAGCTCTGGGGCAGAATGAGGCAGTGTTTGAGGATCACACTCAAACTCTGGAATATTGCCTATGGGGAGATAAGGTGATTATTCAGCCAGCCAATTAGGGGGCTGTTTGCATGTCTGCTCCTCTCTCTTGGTGTTTGTTATAGTACTGTTCCTCACAGCTCCTGTCCCTGAGAGATGGGAGTAAGTAATGCACTGCACAGATGTTTATTGGTATTTACGTTATACATGGACATCAGGGTACACATTTAGGCTACTAAACATTTCTGGTTGGCATGAGCAAGACTCAACTTGGTCTGAAAAGAAGTTTGAATATAAAAAATATAGTTATGTACATACTTGTCAAAGTGCACTTTCTTGCATTTGAAGTCCGGCTTTTAAAATGTCTTAAATATTTCTTCTGACATTAATAATGGCCTTGTAACTGATTCCAACATCCATTTTTTTACATTTTTTGTCAAGCAATGAGATGGGAACCGTACTAAATGTATTACTATACTAATACTGTCAAGCAGTTTAAGAAAGGGAGGAGGCGTTTTCTAAAAGTCTCTCAGAAAATTGTTTCTTTAGACACTTTGGGAGCTCTTTCCTAACAATTTAGATATCACATTAGACAGTATTCTTCATTTAGCTCTGCTGAAGGGCATAATTCATCATGTAATCGATTTGATCCTGCACTTTCGAAAAAAGGTGGATATATGCTGAAGCCTTCACTGGAGGATATGGCTTGATTTACATATCATATTTCATGCAATGTCTTTCCATTTCTCTTCCTCTTCAAGAACACACATATTTCATGAAACTGTTATTATGGGAGCTGCCATCCATCATCGCTTCAGTGTCTGAGCATCCTTGTTCCGAATCAGCAAAGAGATTGTGCAAAACGAATGACACACTACAGACACCTTTACTATACATGATCAAAGGCAGTTGCAGTTTATTTTGACTATTTAACTGTCTAAGTGCATCACCTACCTATCTCACACCCTGACATTGTTTTAATTTGAATCACACTGGATTCATCAAGATTTATGGCAATGAGCGACTCATAAAGACTTTTGAATAGCAAAGTAAGAAAATAATCCAATGCATGAGCATTATACAGTACAGTATGTTCCACATAAAGTATACGGTCCTGGACTGCAGTTGTGTCCAGATGTCCAGTGATATAGTATCAGTATTAGACCTGAATACAGAGATTCCTTCTAGCCTCTTTCCTAAATATTAACCTGAGTTGGATGAATACCCTGGCAGTCATTTATGAGTTATTTTGTACTTAATTTAGGTCAATTGGTAGTGATTTGTTCTCACTTTGACATTAATTAAACCTTTTTTCTTGATCTGTGTCAAAAAACCTAATTATTCCACTTTGATTCAATGTTGTAAAACAAAAAAACATTAAAAAGTCCTAGAGGAATGGATACTTTTTATAGACACTGTATTTTGACACTCATTTGGATCACTTTTTTGGTTGAATTGATTATTTATGCAGCAAATTAGATAAATTAGACAGGCAGACTGGATGGTTGAGGCATGGCTGACTCACGTTTGTATTTATGTTCATTTCAGGCAGCATTCTCTTTGTCTGTTAGGGCTCTGCACTGTCACTTAGTAGCGCTGCGAAGGAGAGATGAATGCTGATGGATGTGAGGATTTCAATGAATATAAACCAGCTGAGCACTGCTAAACCAAGTCTGCACACCAAAAGCACTGGTGATAAAACCTTCTCTTGTGCGTCTTATGTCTGCGATCTTATAATCTAGTTTCCCACTACTATTGCGCCTTAACCTCAATCTCTGTCAGATACAAAATCAAGCTGGATTCAGACGAGGTTCAGTATGGAGGTCACGGACGGCTGGACCACAACACAGAGTTCTTCACAGAGGCCCAGCCTTTCAACGGTCGTTCCAACTCAATGCAGGTAAATATTTCTTTTGACTCATCAAAGGTCATCTTTTGTTGAACGTCAGCGAGTACTAAATATGGAGTGTACTCCAATTATAAGTCCAGGGCCATTGTAGTCAGGTCCAGTCTCTAGACCACTTTTCTAATAGCCTATGCTGTATCACCATCCCACTCTGCATACTAATTCTAACATGGTTGGAGGATGCTGTACATTCACACTGACAAAGTGACAAAATTAAGTGTACTCAGAAATGCCAGTATGCATACCAAATGATCTCTGAGTGTGCTGTTGATGGACGCCATTGTCTTACAATGCTGTGCACATATGTAATGGAGGAGATGCTTAAAGCTAAAAAAACATCAAAAGAATTTGCAGGTGGTGATGAGACAGCTCCAGAAATATCTTGAAAAATAAAAAATGAAGGATTACAACTTTGGACAAACATTTTTATTTCTCTTTGTTGTCCAAATTTGTTTTGCCTGTAGCATTACAAACTTGCATGTCTAGCATCATTTCCTGTTACAAAATGTACAAACGGTGCATTTATTTCTTGTGTACTAACAGCTGTAATACATATGGTATTTGTATATTGTGTAGATTTAGGGCATACTTTTGATCTTACATACCTGTTTAGGTTTGCTGGTGTCATGATACATGTATAGACCTTTCTGACAGACTTGTAGCAGGAAATGCCCATGGTGTAACCAATAACATTAACAATAACCTCTGTTCCATTAAACCACACGTGCACTCCAGTACCTGGATGTACACTGGTACATGTTATGGTTATTAGTTGCAAAAATGACCAATGTGCTGTCGAAAAGCAGGATGTATGGTAGCCATGATGAACATGTGAAGGGATTGATGAAAGCAAGGCTTAATTTTGACAGAGCCATCATTAATGTACTTGTTACACCTATGTTTTTTCCCATGTCAAGTCAGAATGTCTACTATGAGAGCCACTGGTGCCACCGGTGGGTGTTGATTGGACATTCACCTATCTGTGAATATAAAAATGTCCAATTGGTTCATATGATTATAGTTTCTTTGCAGCGCTGCCAACAGTTCATAACATGTAACGTTCCTCAGATCTGATCATTAATTGGATGGATGTTGATGTTTTTGTAGTTTACTGGTGTCTTTTCTGCAGCGAAAAAGCTTTACGCATAACCTGCTTTTAGCAATTACAAAATATGATGAAACAGCAGTGAGTATATTCATGTTTTGTCCTTTTATGTTTCGTTTTTTGATTTCACAAATCAATTTAATTAGCCTGAAATGGAGTTTGTAGTGAGAAGATCCTTTAGAGCCATTCTAATGAGGTTTAAGTGTGTTGTCATGAAAGAGGGTTGCCTGTTCTGGCAAAAAGCCACCATCTCCCTGGTCTGAGCCTCTCAGCTTAACCGCTGCTCTATAATTTAGTATCTTCCTCATTAATATGATTAGCTTTTAATGCAGAGTCCAGAAAATGATCAAATATGACTGCATTCAATAAAAAAATGCTAGATATATCCAAGGGGGGATGGTATCCGTTGTTTGCGGTTTCTCCACAACATTAGGCTTTGTTTGTGAATATCATATTTGGCTTCTATGCATTTTACGCTGCTCATGCTGGCAGTTATCCTGGAGTCATTGAGCGTTATGTGAATCTGCTCTTTCAGATTCTCCAGCAAACAATGTGCATTATTCATGGTGTTAGAACTTACCTTTTCATGTGCATGCCTCTTAAACTTGCACGGCGTCATGGAGGGGAGAAAAATATCTGGGAGAGTAAACCACTGGGCTTCCATCATGGAGACTGCTTTAGGCTAATAGCATGAACTAGGTCGATCCTTGAAATATAGAAAGAAACACTGATATGCATTTTAAGCAGAGTGCTCGAGGATCTTCCTCATGTTTGCCTCCTTTTTTCCTGGTGTAATTTTTTCTTGATTAAAATGCTGAAAGGCAATAAGATGTTTATGAATAAGGTCAGGGATGAATTAGTGAGGATCAGCACCGATACCCAAGCACTCCAACTGTAACTCGGCTGATTGCATGTGTTAGATCTTATGTTAATGAATCCAATTAATGCGTGAGGACAGTGATGTCTATGAAGTGGTCTGCACAGTCATCCTCCATCTCCTTCTGTGCTTTTTTAGTTTGTTTAGTAAAATAATAAATATCTCAAGGCGCTACACTTAAGCTGTTTCAGTCAGTACGGAGTTGACTTAGCACCTGATGAGCTGTTTGTTTATCTGAACTCAACTTGAACCTCCTCAGATCAATACCTAAAGTGTTGCCGTTAATGGATAGAGGATATTACTCTATATTAAGAGTTGGACGGAGCACTTTAATGCATCAAAAATGTGTTTGGCAAATTCATACTGCTATTTAGACCATCAATTCAGCATTATTTAAGCCCTATTAAAAAAACTCTTCCTTTTTTGAGTAGACAGTAATACTCCATCGTATTAGCTTAGGTTTCATCAGTTAAGGACTCAAATTCCACATTCTCTTAAATCTTTTCTAACTCGTATTAATTCAACCACCACTGCTTCACCCACGTCCCTCTTGGCCAAAATGTGAAGTTTAGTTAACAAGTCATCTGCTAATGTTGGCACCCTCATGGATTAATGGGGAATGAAAGGGAGTGAGAGGAATGGTGCTGACGGGGAGGGAGGAGGCAGGGTGTGGACCCTTCTGCACGTACTGTATCTGCTCCCTCGTAGAGATTGCACAGTGAGACTGTAGTCTTGCATAAAGATGCTGCTTGTCCTCCTCCTCCTCACACCTACCTGGTTATGACAAGAATAATCAGACAAGAGCCTCTGCGGGGGCTGCGAAAGGTGCCCACACCATCCATGTTTTATTTAACAACTGTTGCTTTCAAAGTCTGCGCAAACTTCTTCTCTCCTGTCTTTTTAATGGGTCTGTCAGTTATCTAGCTTCCTCGTAACTGAGCTGTAATAAACTCTCATAACCTCCAAGAATGCATCAGTCCTCAGACAGAGAATGTGCATAATGGGATGAAGCCAGCAGAGTCAAGAGCATCCTGGTGGCACATTTGGCTGTGGCGATCATTGTGTAACCATAACACCCTGTGTTTACACATCTAGTCCTGTCCTGTTGTCGTGTGCCATCCCTTTAGCTATTTCTGTCTTTTTCTCCATTATAAAAAATCAATGAAGAGAAAAAATGCCCTCCCCTCTTCAGAACAAACAAACAAAAAACAAGAACGAAAATAGACCCTTTTAGACATGACACAGATGGTAAACAAGTTATAGTGTTTACAGAGGAATGCTGCATGTTGTGGTTGGTATATGACTGTGATGGTATCATACTGTTTCAGCTTCAAAAGTAATTGGAAAAAAAAGTTAATTTATGTGATTTGACTGTTACATTACAGTATATAGAATGCTGCATCCTCTAATTCTCTTTGTTTTGATAATATTTTGTTTCCATGTCAAAAATTCTTATAAGCCACTCTTTAAAAAGGGTTTATAAGTTGTAACTAATTGCTTTATAATTTGCAACTAATGGCTTTATTACAGGTTAATAAAACATTTGTAGATCAGTTACAAGCCATTAATAAGAATATGTTTAAGGTTGCTGCTAGGTTGGGAAAAAAATGTTTCTCAATTCTCCTCATTAATAAAGATTAATTGGACTAATTTAAAAGAGATATTAATAAAGGTTCATGAGTTTCTCACTTTCCAGTGTCTTCCTGATGAATAAAAGAGCTAAAAACACAATGCAAAAGGTGCCTTATTAGGAGGTGGTATCATTCTATTAAGTACAAATATTATTCACATTTTACATTTTTAATGGTTGCTGTAAGAAAACAAATAAAACAATCTTGATTTATTCTTTCTTACTAATTAAACTACTGACGTTGATCTTCCACGTGAGTGACTAGTTCAAATTAAAATGCTAATATCAGTTTTGGGTTGTGATTTAGCTCAATGGAAAAGGACGTTTAGTTTTAACATCAACTATTAAATAGACCACTGGTTCTGAAAGTGGGTGACACGGCAACCTGGGGTGCCTTGAGGAGGGGCCAAGGGTGCAGCAAAATTTAACATGACAATTACTTTTTTTAACTTTTTGCTTTTTTATTGTTATCCTGCATTGAAAAAACAACAAATATCAAAATCACCTAATTTAATTCAATTCAGTTTTATTTGGGGGGGGGGTGAAGGGGTTCAGAAAATAAAGAAAGATTGATCATATCTAGTAAAGAAGTGCCAACTAAGGGTAAGACTTCTTTAAGCAGCCTAGTTGGGATGCGGTCTGAGAGACAGGTTGATGGCTTTGAAGAAAGCTAAAAAGAAGTTAATTGATGAAGATTCAGAAACGGTTATGCCGGTAACACAAGAGATTTTGTGGCTAGGGAGTTTTTTAGGAGCTCAGCAGTCAGTGCAAGCGATGGGAAGGTTTGACACAGTAAACATAGCTCAAAGAAATTCTGATACATTTCAGCCCTATACATCATATATGTGTGGTGTGGCTCTCACCGATACACATGAAACAAGAAACCGGCTGCCAGTGGAGTCAGACCTGTGGGTTGGGATCAACAACAGGCTCACATGTCCCAGGTTTTGTTGGTAGACATGTTTTAATCAACATTTCAACTTCAACTTGTTTTGTTCTACAGCAGCCCAGAACAGACAAACCAGACACTGGCTCTAGATAGTTTTGGGGCTGCTATAGTTCATCCTACACACTTCACAGCCTGTTCTCATTCCCAGGTCGTCAAATACGGATACAAGCAGTGTTCAGTTAGTAGCAATCTGCAACTTCACTGCTTGATACAACTAAATCCTACTCACTGGTCCTTTTAAAGAAATTATAGAAATGCATTTAACATATTAGCATATTTAACTGTATTTATTGTTTTAAATTATATTTGAGTAATATTTATCTGTACATGTCCAGTGCACCTGCTGGCTTTTATTCTGAGTGACTGAGAATGTCCTATCAATTTAAAGCATCTATATCCATTATTTTTACAATAACAATGTATCAAATGGCAA